TGCCAGCAGCACCTCTGCCACCCTCCCCCTCCCGCCTCGTCCAGGAATTAATTACTTGATTATAAATCCCTGAGCGGCAGTTTATAATAGCAATAATCCCCTCGAAATTCATCCTTGCTGCCGTTTTCTTCCCATCTCTCCCCCATCGTTGAGAGTCTCTAATGTGCATCTCTATGCTGGACGAAGCTGTTCTCCTCACCCTGCTGGTGTGCTGGCTTTTCCTTGGAATAACAGTGGTGGGAAAAAATTAGGAGTTGATTTTGAGGGATGTTTTGGGAAGCCCTGCTCCTGCTGGCAGGGATGGAGCCCTTCTCTCACTGGTAGTGGGTTTCATCCTGGCCGGGGCAGCGCGCAGGGCTGAGGTGCTCACACCGATTGCTGGGGATAACGTTTTGTCCCAGTTATTAGGCTGATGGCCCAGCCGCAGCCCCGAGGAGTGCGGGGGGGGGAGGCCCCGTCCCTCCTCTCTCTGTCCTTCCCAATTATGCTGACGCTGGCTCTGGGGCTTGTCACAGAGGCGGGGAAGGGAGAAAGGATTTGGCGTGGCGTATGGGGGCGTGAGGGGGGCAGCAGTGTCTCGTGGGAGCCTGCCAGCGATGGGTGATGGGCCTCGAAACAGTGCTGCCATAGCGGGAGATGAGCCTCTCCATGTCCCCCCTAGGGTCCCCAGGGCTTGGCAAGGGACTGCCTCCATCCAGGGGACCCAAATCAAGGTCCCCAGCTGATAAGGCAGCCCAGCACACATGGCCCCTCTGCATGGCCATTGAAATAGAGAGGATTCCACCTCCGCCAGCCACATGTGGGCTTTCAGCTCAGCAATGGCATCCTGCTGGGAAAAAGCCCTTGTCCCTTCCAAACCGTGTGGGCAGAGCCGGTGCGGGCAGCACTGAAGCTTCCCAGTGCGCGTGGCCGCCCAGCTCTGATGGCTGCTTTTCTCACCCGTCTCTGCAGAAGATGCTGATGAAGCAGCAGGACCGCCTGGAGGAGCGGGAGCAAGACATCGAAGAGCAGCTCTACAAGCTGGAATCGGACAAGCGGCTGGTCGAGGTAACTGGTGCTTCACCCTGCTGCATCCATCCCTGGGGACTGTCACCCCGTGGCACAACGGGGACGGGCTCCCAGAGCGTAGGGGCTGAGTGGGCAGGGAGGAGGGAGGACTCTCAGGGGAAGAGCAGCTGGCCGGACCTGCTGTCTCCATTCCTGTCCTGGCAGTCGTACTTTTGGGAGATGAAACGTATTTGGGGCTGCCCTACAGCCTCATGGGTCCTGGGGTGAGTTGGGAAACAAGGAATGAGGTGGTTCCCCCACCTCAGTTCAGCACAGCCTTCCCCTTCCTCTCCACTTCGTCCCAAGTTGGAGTGGAGGGTCTGGAGATGGGAGATCCCCAAATAAACCATTGACATACCCAGGAGGTGGAAGAGATACAAGAGAGTGCTTTGCTGAGACACAGGTAAAACAAGATCAGCTCATGGTCCTTAAAGTCCCTTGGCCTCCCAGAGCATGGAGGGCTCTGGAGTATGATGTGACCCCAGCCTGGGCTGGGGATGGGGATAACAATGGGGATGGGAATGGGGATGAGGATGGGGATGGACAGGGTTTTTCAGGGGAGCCCACCTGCCTCAGTGGTGCGGCAGGTTGTTGCTTGGCGTTAGGTCTCTGGAGGTGATCCCCAGGATGTAAGTCCAGGGGATCTGCTGGATTAGCCAAACCTCCACAGTGGCCCTATTGGGTCTCCGGCATGTAGGAGTCCCACATGGCAGATGACCGCGGGGTTTGGTCTGTGTAGGCACTGCAGGAGAGCAGAACTGTGGTGCAGCTCTCGGGTCGCACCCACCCCTGCTGGGGTCCTGGGGCATCACAGCGGACCTCCATGCAGAGGGGCTGACCCTGCTCCTCTCCCCCAGGAGAAGGTGAGCCAGCTGAAGGACGAGGTGCGCCTGCAATACGAAAAGATGCACCAGATCTTGGACGAGGACTTGCGGAAGACCATGGAGATCCTGGACAAGGCCCAGGCCAAGTTCTGCAACGAGAACGCGGCCCAGGTCCTCCACCTCAATGAGCGCATGCAGGAGGCCAAGAAGCTCCTCAGCTCTGTCCAGGTCATGTTCGACAAAACCGAGGACATCAACTTCATGAAGGTGAGATGAGCTGCCCGTGCTGGGGGTGTGAGGGGGTGAGGGGGAGGCCTGCTGGTGTAGGGAGCGTTGCGGCGCGGGCTGGGGGCACTGATGGGGACTTGCTGGTGCCTCTAGAGGCTCAGCAGTGGGGGAAGACGAGGAGGAGTGGGCAGGCTCAGGGCTGGCCTCCTGCGAGGAGATGCTGCAGCTGGAGGTGGGGCCGGGGCAGCCCGTGCTGGGGGAGAGGGGGCTCGGCACCCTTGGGCAGCCTGTCCCCTCCTGGGGGGCCACAGACGGTGACACTGAAAGGGGAGGTGGCTGCTGGGACTGGGACTGTTCTTACTGACCAGGGCTTCTCCTTCCCCTCCTAGAACACCAAGTCTGTGAAAATCTTAATGGACAGGTAAGTGGGGCGGGGCAGGCGTGTTTGGGGGGGAAGGGGTGTGCATGGGGACGGCAGCAGCACAAAGTCCTGGAGGAGGAGCAGGGCCAGGGATGCTGCAGAGCCTGGGAGAGGCGTGCTCTGTGCCTCGGTTTCCCTCTGTGTCTGGGAGGATGAGAAATCCCCTCCTGGGGGCACTGGATCAAGTCCTCCCTCAGACTAGGGGAAACATAGTGGTGTGTTTGTGGAAAAGCAGAGCTGGGCCCCAGCACACCAGCCAGGATGGGACCAGCCAGGCAGGGGTGCAGGGCTCAGTCCAGGGCCTCCCTCCAGGGCCTGGGGTTAAAGCCAGTGCTAGCAGAGCTGGGGCAAACTGGGGTGGCGATGTGGGGGCTGTGGGGGCTGCAGAGGGTGCATGTTGGCACAGGACATTCACAGCAAGGCTGGATGGGGAAGGTCCTGCTGGGAAGGGAGTGGCCCATCGGAGAAGGCCAGATACCCCCCTTGCCCTTGGTGCTGCCTCCCTGGGGAAGGGGTTTGGCCCCAGGAGGGGCAGGGGAAGGAGCGTGGGGGCTTCCTGACCCTCCCCTGAGTGTGCTTTGTCCCTCACACCTCTCCTCTCTGCCCACGGTCCCAAACAGGACCCAGAACTGTACAGGTGGCAGCCTGCCCCCGCCCAAAATTGGCCACCTCAACTCCAAGCTCTTCCTGAATGAGATCGCCAAGAAGGAGAAGCAGCTCAGGAAGTTGCTGGAAGGTGGGTGAAGCCTGAGGGGTGCTGGGGCAGGGGGTGGCACGGGACCTCGCTACCTCCTGTATCCATAGCTGGCTGCCCTGCGGATGCCATTACAAGAGGGTGGGGAGAGCTGTTGGGGTACAGGAACACCTGGTAACCTGCCTGTGGTCAGCGGGGTCGGAGCATGAAGATGGTAACCCCGGCTCCTGACTCTCCCAAAGACATTCCTGTGGCTGGGGAGCGGCTGTGTTTTGGGGTGACGCGGGGGGGGGGCTGGCCATCCACAGAGAAAGTCAGTGGAAAGACACTGGTCAGCACGTGGGCAGGGACAGCCATGGGGCCAGCGTGGTCTCACAGCCCCCAACCCATGCCTGGGAGCAGACCACATCCTGCGGAGCCTTCCCAGTCCTCTCTCCTTGGGGGATTTTGGTTTGTCACCCAGGCTGTCCCGCTCTAATCCTGTCATGAACCGTGGTCGTGAGCTCTGCACAGGCTCAGCCCGCACACGTGTTTGCAGAGCAGCACTCGGAGCTGCTCCGAGCCTGCCGCCAAGGTCCCAAAACAGCACCCGCAAATTGACCTGTGTGCCCAGTTTGCCACTGGTGGGACAGGCTGGGGGGCCCCTCTGCTCGCGGAGGGCTGGAACGTGGGTCTCAGGGCTTCACTGCAGGTTCCGAGCAGCAGCCAGAGCACCCCGGAGCTGTGCCATGCCGGCCTTGACACAGTCCCCTTCTCCTGTTCCCCTCCGCAGGTCCTCTGAGCACCCCCGTCCCCTTCCTGCAGAGCATCCCCATGTACCCCTGCACCGTCAGCAACTCCGGCGCGGAGAAGCGCAAGCACTCCACCGCCTTCCCCGAGGGCAGCTTCCTCGAGCCATCGTCCGGGACTGTGGCGAGCCAGTACATGAGCCAGGGCGCTTCGGCTGGCGAGGGGCAGTCCGCACAAGCCATGGTGCCTTGTAGCTCCACGCAGCACATAGTTGGACTTCCCAGTGGCCCGCAGCCGGTGCACTCGGGCTCCGTCTTCAACCCATCTCACTACCCCAACACCACGTCATCTCAGCAGTCCGTGCTCTCCCAGTACGGCGGGCGCAAAATCCTCGTCTGCGAATGGATTGACGCATCCCAGCAGCACGGGCGGCAGGATTTCTATAGGGTCTACGGCCAGCCGTCGGCGAAACACTACGTCACCAGTTAACCGTCACACTCTCCGGAGAGTCCCGTTCGATGACGCGTTCGGAGAGAAAAGTCTGGTTTGGTTTGGCTTTTTTTTTTTCCCCCTCCCTTTTAAATCAAACCCAACTTTTTCCCTGCCTCGCACCCCTCCAGGATTTTGGGGAGGGTTGTTCTCTCATATCTCTCTCTCTCTTTTTTTTAAAAAAAACCCTTCTAAAACTAAATAATAATGTTTTTTTTCCTTTTAATTCCTTTTTTTAATTTAATTTTGGAAAGTCCTTCCTCCCCCTCGCTGGGAAAAGACGAGGGAGAAATTACCGAGAAGAAATTGATGGGGATTTCAGTCAGGCGTCTGGGTCTGTGCGTCGCGCTCTTCCTCGCTCCTCTCTGCCTTTGGAAAACTTCAGAAGGGACAATGGCACCTTCTCTCTTTCCATTTCTCCGAGTTCATTTTTTTTCTGGTTTGGTTCAGTTTTTCCCTTTCCCCAGGAATTTCTGTGATAGCTGATAAGTATTCTTTGCTTTCATCACAGTCGCATTTTTCTCCTGAGAATAGATCTGATTTTAGATTTTGGGTTTGTTACCTTTTTTTTTTTTTTTTTAAAGGCTGATTTTTTTTTGTGTTACGAGGCCACTTCTCAAGCATATTGGCATTTTTTTTTTCCTTTTTCTTTCAGAGATTTGTAAATACACAATGGCAGGAAATTTAATGCACAAAAAAAAGGGAAAAGAAACTTTAAAAAAAAAAAAAACATGAATAAATAAATAAAAAAAAAAAATTCTGTTCTAGTTTTCAGGAGGGGAAGTGTGGCCGAAACGCACCCCCCCCTCCTGCGTATCGCTGATGCAACTTCCTGTAACAAGCACTTTGTATAAAAAAAAAGTGGACTTCCTGCTATAAGGCACAGGTATTTATTCTGTAACCGATTTTAGAACACACACACAAAAAAAAAATATTCAAATAAATGTGATCACTTAGTGCAAACGCCTCGCTCTGCTGCAGCTCTTCCCCCGGGAACGCCAGCTCCGGCGGGAGGCTCCCACCTGCTTTCGGCAGTAACCGCTCCCCAGGTCCCGCGGGTGCCCA